CTAAAAGCAACATAGACCAGAAAGGAACACAGACAATATACAGTAACAATCACCTTACAGGCAATACAATGGCACTAAATTTCTATCTTTCAATAGTTAACCTGAATGTAAATGGGCTAAATGCCCCAATCAAAAGACACAGGCTATCAGATTGGATAAAAAAACAAGACCCATCGATATGCTGTCTGCAAGAGACTCATTTTAGACCCAAAGACACCCCCAGATTTAAAGTGAGGGGGTGGAAAGCCATTTACCATGCTAATGGACACCAAAAGAAAGCTGGGATGGCAATCCTTATATCATACAAATTAGATTTTAAACCAAAGACTGTAATAAGAGATGAGGAAGGACACTATATCCTACTTAAACGGTCTGTCCAACAAGAAGATCTAACAATTGTAAATATCTATGCCCCTAACATGGGAGCAGCCAATTATGTAAGGCAATTAATAACAAAAGCAAAGAAACACATTGACAACAATACAATAATAGTGGGGGACTTTAACACCCCCCACTGAAATGGACAAATCGTCTAAGCAACAGATCAACAAGGAAATAAAGACTTTAAATGACACACTGGACCAAATGGACTTCACAGATAAATTCAGAACATTCCATCCCAAAGCAACAAAATACACATTCTTCTCTAGTGCCCATGGAACATTCTCCAGAATCGATCACATCCTAAGTCATAAATCAGGTCTCAACCGGTACCAAAAGATTGGGATCATTCCCTGCCTATTTTCAGACCACAATGCTTTGAAACTAGAACTCAATCACAAGAGGAAAGTCGGAAAGAACTCAAATACATGGAGGCTAAAGAGCATCCTACTAAAGATTGAATGGGTCAACCAGGAAATTAAAGAAGAATTTAAAAAATTCATGGAAACCAATGAAAATGAAGACACAACTATTCAAAATCTTTGGGATGCAGCAAAGGCGGTCCTAAGAGGAAAGTATATAGCAATACAAGCCTTTCTCAAGAAACAAGAAAGGTCTCAAGTACACAACCTAACCCTCCACCTAAAGGAGCTGGAGAAAGAATACCAAATAAAGCCTAAACCCAGCAGGAGAAGAGAAATAATAAAGATCAGAGCAGAAATCAATGAAATAGAAACTAAAAGAACAGCAGAACAGATCAACGAAACTAGGAGCTGGTTCTTTGAAAGAATTAACAAGATTGATAAACCCCTGGCCAGACTTATCAAAAAGAGAAGAGAAATGACCCAAATCAACAAAATCATGAATGAAAGAGGAGAGATCACAACCAACACCAAAGAAATACAAACAATTATAAGAACATATTATGAGCAACTCTATGCCAGCAAATTAGATAACCTGGAAGAGATGGATGCATTCCTAGAGATGTATCAACTACCAAAACTGAACCAGGATGAAATAGAAAACCTGAACAGACCTATAACCACTAAGGAAATTGAAGCAGTCATCAAAAATCTCCCAAAAAACAAAAGCCCAGGGCCAGACGGCTTCCCAGGGGAATTCTACCAAACATTTAAAGAAGAATTAACACCTATTCTTCTGAAACTGTTCCAAAAAATAGAAATGGAAGGAAAACTTCCAAACTCGTTTTATGAGGCCACCATTACCTTGATCCCCAAACCAGACAAAGACCCCATTAAAAAGGAGAACTACAGACCAATATCCCTGATGAACATGGATGCAAAAATTCTCACCAAAATACTAGCCAATAGGATCCAACAGTACATTAAACGATTATTCACCATGACCAAGTGGGATTTATCCCTGGGCTGCAAGGTTGGTTCAACATCCGCAAATCAATCAATGTGATACAATACATTAACAAAAGAAAGAATAAGAATCATATGATCCTCTCAATAGATGCAGAAAAAGCATTTGACAAAGTACAGCATCCTTTCTTGATCAAAACTCCTCAGAGTATAGGGATCGAGGGTTCATACCTCAATATCATAAAAGCCATCTATGAAAAACCCACAGCGAATATCATTATCAATGGGGAAAAACTGAGAGCTTACCCCCTAAGGTCAGGAATGCAGTAGGTATGTCCACTATCACCACTGCTATTCAACATAGTATTAGAAGTCTGGGCCACAGCAATCAGAAAACAAGAAGAAATCAAAGGCATCCAAATCAGCAAAGAAGACATCAAACTCTCACTCTTTGCAGATGATATGATACTTTATGTAGAAAACCCCAAAGACTCCACCCCAAAACTGCTAGAACTCATACAGGAATTCAGTAAAGTGGCAGGATATAAAATGAATGCACAGAAGTCAGTGGCATTCCTATACACCAACAACAAGACAGAAGAAAGAGAAATTAAGGAGTCGATCCCATTTACAATTGCACCCAAAACCATAAGATACCTAGGCATAAATCTAACCAAAGAGGCAAAGGATCTGTACTCAGAAAACTATAAAATACTCATGAAAGAAATTGAGGAAGACACAAAGAAATGGAAAAACGTTCCATGCTCATGGATTGGAAGAACAAATATTGTGAAGATGTCAATGCTACCTAGAGCAATCTACAGATTCAGTGCAATCCCCATCAAAATACCATCCACTTTTTTCAAAGAAATGGAACAAATCATCCTAAAATTTGTATGGAACCAGAAAAGACCCCGCATAGCCAGAGGAATGTTGAAAAAGAAAAGCAAAGCTGGCGGCATCACAATTCCGGACTTCCAGCTCTATTACAAAGCTGTCACCATCAAGACAGTATGGTACTGGCACAAAAACAGACACATAGATCAATGGAACAAAATAGAGAGCCCAGAAATGGACCCTCAGCTCTATGGTCAACTCATCTTTGACAAAGCAGGAAGAAATGTCCAGTGGAAAAAAGACCTTCTCTTCAACAAATGGTGTTGGGAAAATTGGACAGCCACATGCAGAAGAATGAAACTGGACCATTTCCTTACACCACACACAAAAATAGACTCCAAATGGTTGAAAGACCTCAATGTGAGACAGGAGTCCATCAAAATCCTAAAGGAGAACACAGGCAGCAACCTCTTCGACCTCAGCCGAAGCAACTTCTTCCTAGAAACATCGCCAAAGGCAAGGGAAGCAAGGGCAAAAATGAACTATTGGGACTTCATCAAGATAAAAAGCTTTTGCAAAGCAAAGGAAACAGTCAACAAAACCAAAAGACAACCGACAGAATGGGAGAAGATATTTGCAAGTGACATATGAGATAAAGGGCTAGTATCCAAAAACGATAAAGAACTTCTTAAACTCAACACCCAAGAACAAAGAATCCAATCAAGAAATGGGCAGAAGAGATGAACAGACATTTTTCCAAAGAAGACATCCAAATGGCCAACAGACACATGAAAAAGAGCTCAATATCACTTGGCATCAGGGAAATCCAAATCAAAACCTCAATGAGATACCACCTCACACCAGTCAGAATGGCTAAAATTAACAAGTCAGGAAATGACAGATGTTGGCGGGGATGCGTACAAAGGGGAACCCTCCTACACTGTTGGTGGGAATGCAAGCTGGTGCAGCCACTCTGGAAAACAGTATGGAGGTTCCTCAAAAAGTTGAAAATAGAGCTACCATATGATCCAGCAATTGCACTACTGGGTATTTACCCCAAAGATACAAAAGTAGGGATCCGAAAGGGTACGTGCACCCCGATGTTTATAGCAGCAATGTCCACAATAGCCAAACTGTGGAAAGAGCCCAGATGTCCATCGACAGATGAATGGATAAAGAAGAAGTGGTATATATATACAATGGAATATTATGCAGCCATCAAGAGGAATGGGATCTTGCCATTTGCAACGACGTGGATGGAACTGGAGGGTATTATGTTGAGCGAAATAAGTCAACCAGTGAAAGACATGTATCATATGACCTCACTGATATGAGGAATTCTTAATCTCAGTAAACAAACTGAGGGTTGCTGGAGTTGTGGGGGTGGGAGGGATTGGGTGGCTGGGTGATAGACACTGGGGAGGTTATGTGCTCTGGTAAGCACTGTGAATTGTGCAAGACTGTTGAATCACAGATTTGTACCTCTGAAAGAAATAATGCAATATATGTTAAGGAAAAAAAAAAGAAGATAGCAGGAGGGGAAGAATGAAGGGGGGGAAATAGGAGGGGGAGACGAACCATGAGAGATGATGGACTCTGAGAAACAAACTGAGGGTTCTAGAGGGGAGGGGCGTGGGAGGATGGGTTAGCCTGGTGATGGGTATTGAGGAGGGCACGTTCTGCATGGAGCACTGGGTGTTATGCACAAACAATGAATCATGGAACACTACATCTAAAACTAATGATGTAATGTATGGGCATTAACATAACAATAAAAAATTAAAAAAATAAAAATAAAAAATAAAAATAAGTTAATGCATGAGATACCACAATCTAAATGTGATCCAATAAGATTATCATTAGTATGTTTTCTGAGGCATTAAAGGTTGAAGCTGAGGACTAAGGAGATAAAAAGAAAATATAATTGAGGTGAAAGCTGCAGCACCAAAAGCTGCAGCACCTTTATAGCTCATTCCTTGATGCTTCCTCTAAACCATTGCCCTCCTGTGACACCTCACCCCCCAAAATCTTTTTTTTTTTTTGGCAGTGGAAATAAGGTTTGAGAGAAGAAATTTTGGATATATTATATATATAAGATATATAGTAAACCTGACCTAAACAGATCAAATTCTTGTATATTGAACTGTAAGTGTATATTTTAAAACAGAGTTAGGAAGGGCCTCTGTGGCAGGAAGGAACTTAGCAGGATTTAAAATTTAACCATGGATGTGGATACATACAAAACTGATAACGTTCTTGCTTCAGGGGAAAAGAATTTGGTAGGGATAACAAAGAAATTTACTTTTTTCTTTAATAACCTTTTTCACATTTCAGATTTTGTATCATGGGCACAGTATTACCTATTGCAAATAAAAGAACAAAATAGATAAACTTTAACATAGATAACTGTTCGTTGTCTCTAAATGAACCCCCCCCCCCTTCTTTTTTCTTCAGGTGTTTGCAATGGCTGCTACTGTGAATTTGGAACTTGATCCCATTTTTTTGAAAGCACTAGGCTTCTTACATTCAAAAAGTAAGGATTCTGCAGAAAAGTTAAAGGCACTACTTGATGAATCTTTGGCTCGGGGCATTGATTCAAGTTACCGTCCATCTCAGAAGGTACCTATGTGAATAAAAAGCTTTGGGGGGAGTTTTGTAAGGCCTGTAGTAGAACAGTGTTAATACTTAGATCATCTCAAAACAATCTCCCTGCCATAATAATCTTTCCTTAAGGCATGAAGAAATTATATTCTTTAGTGTTCTTTTCTTCCTTCATGCTTTCAGAGAACTGTTACATAGAAAAGTTAGCTGGGTGGGAGGGATATTCTGTTCTACTACTTTATGTGTAGATTAACCCACTTATTTATGATTTAATTTCTAATTCTTTATGATCAAAACATTTTTTAATTTCCTGGATGAAACCATAATTTGTAATTATTCTCTAATGTTTTGCGGGCCAAAAATCATGAAGTAAAAGGACAGGGATTTTGCAGTGAAGTGGATTGAATATGGGAAGGATAATTTAAGGGAAAAAAGAGGTGTGAATGAACTATGAGAACTGTGTGGCTCCAACTTTGATAATAACAAAGCAGCCAAACAACTTTATGTGAAAAGAATATACATTTTGGAACCAAACCTGTAAATCCCAGCTTGCCTCTTGTTAGTTGTATGGTAGTAGATATTATATCCTAAACATTTATTGTGTTTAGGGTACTTTTCTGCATGGTGTGTGTGTATAATTAATTTTAATTGTGATAATGATCCTTTGAGATAGGTATTGTTTATTTTCATTTAAAAATAAAGGAACTGATTACAATATCATTGTATATTGTGCCTGGGTGGCTCAGTCGATTAAGCGTTTGACTTCGGTTCAGGTCATGATCTCAGGGTCCTGGGATCGAGCCCCACACGGGGCTCTCTGGGCTCAGCTGGGAGTCCGCTTGTCCCTCTGTCCCTCCCTCTGCTTGTGCTTTCTCTCTCAATAAATAAATAAAATCTTTAAAAAATAATAAAAAAATAAGGAAACTGGGGTGTGTAGTAACTTCATTTCAGCCAGCCTCTATTTCTTTAGTAGTAAAATGGGGATAATAAAAATTACCTTGTAAAATTGTGAAAATTAACCAAAGATAAAGTATGTAAGTCACCTAGTGTAGTATCTAGCTGGTACATAATAGGCTTTTCATGAATGGCAGCTCTTATTATATTCTGTAATACCTGATACATTCTTTCAAACCTTTCTAAAACTCTAGAGCCCTGAAACTCCAAGTCACCCAGGTCTTTAGACCTAGGTACCAAACTGAGGGAAGACAGAACTACATCACTCACTCAGTCTAATCCACAATCTCAAACTAAAGACAGGCCCAAATCCCAGACTCAGTAGCCAAGTCCCAAACCCAGTGTTTAAGTAAACTGGTATTTTGCCCCCAGTCTTCTTTCAGCACAAACTCTCATATTCTCAAGTCTTTTTGCTGTGTTTTGAATAGTAGGGCCAGTGTGTCCTTGTTTCTTCTACCATCCTCATTCTGGTAGGTTCAGTGAGTTCAAACTGACCAAATTATACAACTCTACAGAATATACTAGTAAGTTTATTCTGCTCTGAATATGGATACTATCCCAATAGGAAAAACCTATTATTACTAAAGAAGCAGTACTGTATTTTGAGATTCTAAAACAGAAGGAAGTTCATCTATTAAAATACATGAAAAATTTGTTTTGATTAAAAAGCCTCCTGCCCTTAGATTTCTAACTGGAGTTACTTCTGTTGATCAACCTAGAGAATATACTGTGTTAGGTATTTAAAAAGTATGGATTCACTTAATTGTAGCCTTTAGCTGTCCATTTCCATTTCTAAGATGGTTAAGAATCACCTGGAGGCAGTGGTATGCTTGTATCTTTTTTTTTTTTCCTAAGATTTTATTTATTTATTTGACAGAGAGAGCGAGAGAGCACAAGCAGGGGGAACAGTAGAGGGAGAGGGAGAAGCAGGCTCCGTGCCAAGCAGGGAGCCCGATGCGGGGCTCAATCCCAGAATCCTGAGATCATGACCTAAGCCGAAGGCAGACGCTTAACCATCTGAGCCACCCAGACGCCCCAGCAGTGGTATGCTTATAAACATTAACAACTGGCTCTCCAAATGTAGTATCAACATAAAAATTAGTTGATATTTCATTTACATCACTGAGTAAGTCAAATGTGAAGTAATGAATTCAGAGGTGCCTGGGTGGCTCAGTCGGTTAAGCATTGATCAAGATTAGCTCTTGATCTCAGCTCAGGTCTTAATTTCAGGGTCGTGAGTTCAAGCCTTGTCTTGGGCTCCATGCTGGACATGGAGTCTGCTTATAGAAAAGAAAAAGAAATAATGAATTTAGAACTTAACTCATCCTTCAATGACTTGTAACTCTTTTGCTGAATTAGATAATAGTTTTCAAATGCTGCAAGATTATGTTTTTTGTTTTTTTTTATGTTAGAGACACAATACACTTCTAAGTTTAATCTGCATTACCAACACTTCTTCTATCACTTTCCCAGGGCTACACGAGTGGTCACCAAACTTTATGTAAAGTATCAAATACTAAATGTTTTAGGTTTTGTGGGCCACATGGTCTCTGTCACAATGATCTAATTCTGCCATGGTAGCATGAAAGCACTGCAGGTTATACATAAATGAGTGAGTATAGCTGTGTTCTAATGTAACTTTATTTATAAAAAACAGGAAATAAGGCCAAATTTGGCCTCTAGGCCTCAGTTTTCCAACACCTGGTCTAGACAGTCGGCACAATAAATCAAGTGTAGCTACCAATAAGTCTAAAGCCCCGTTCTTTATCCCTTCCCCATTTCTTCCTCCTTAGAGGTTACCACTGTTCTGAAGCTAATGTATATCATTCCTGTTTGTATTTTTATACATTTATGTATTACCACAAAAAAGTAGACTGCACTCAGACATTCTGGTTTATTTAGAATGGGAGGAAATGCCCTCCTTTTTTGCAGGGTGATTCCAAGGAGTTATCATATATGTAAACTTTTTATACTATTAGCAGTGGATAGCAAGTATAAATATCAGCAAAGTAGTAATATAAGACAAGGAGGAAAAGACAACCCGGAGACTGAAAATATTTGCAAATCAATTATCTGATAAAGGACTTGTATCCAGAACCTACGAATAACTTTTTAGACTCAGTAATAAAACGAACAACTCTGTTTTTTAAAAAGGGCAAAAAATTTTAAGGAACATTTTACCAAAGAAGATATATGTATAGCAGATAAGCACTTGAAAAACTGTTCAACATCATTAGACATTAGGAAAATGGAAATGGAATCCATAGTGATATACCACTATATACCTATGACAATGTCTAAAATTAAAAAAATTAGCCAAACCAATGTTGATGAGGATGCTAAGGAGCTGGGACTCTCATATACTTCTGGTGGAAATGTAAAATGGTATACTGCTTTGGAAAATGGTTTGGTAGTTTCATACACCCACCATATGATCCAGCTGTTTTACTCCTAGACATTAATTCTAGAGAAATGAAGTAAATGTCCACACAAAGATTTGTGCATGAATGGTCATAATAGCTTTATTTGTAATAGCCCCAAACTATAAACAAATATCCACCAATAGATAAATGAATAAACAAATGGTATATCCATTTGATAGAATATTATTCAGCAATATAAGGAATGAACTGTTGATATATTCAGCAACCTGAGTCAATCTCAAAATAAATAGGCTGAGTGAAAGAAGACAGAAAAAAAGAGTATATACCATATGATTTTGTTCCTATAAATTTCTAGGAAATGTAAACCAATTTATAGTTACAGAAAGCAGGTCAGTGGTTGCCTGACGATGGTGGGGGTCATAGTTTCTCTAGGGTATATACCACTAAGAGTAATTATAGTGGGCCACAGGGAAACTTTGGGGGATGATGGATATGTTCTTTATTGATTGTAGTGATGGTTTCATGTGAAAATTACCGATTTTACACTTTATACAGTTTGTATATCAATTATTTCTCAATAAATCTTTTTTAAAGAAATGGATGTTACATTGGTCCAAACATTTCTTAATTTTCAACTAAAAATTGTTTATGATCTACTTTTTACAATTTGTTAGAACATTTAACTACAAGTATCTTTTTATTTCATCTTTTAGGATGTGGAGCCACCCAAAATTTCAAGCACAAAAACTATTTCTGTTAAGCAAGAGCCCAAAACATCATCCAGTCTTCCTTCTGGCAATAGTAATGGCAAAGCCCTCACAACTGAAAAAGTAAAGAAGGAAGCTGAAAAGAGACCAGCTGATAAAGTAAGAATTAATTTAATCTGCCTTTAAAAAGAGTAAATCAGTTATGCTTATAGGCAGGAACAATGTTTCTTTTTGTGCTCACTTCTTTTACATAATAGTAGGTAAAGTACATAATAATTACTAGTAAACATATTTTGATAATTATAGATGTTGATTTTTTGAAAAGTGAGTAAAATTTAGAAACATTATTTAACCATTTACTGAAGTCATTATCAATACATATTTAAACCCTAGGGGATGTACTATTTTAAGTATAAACTTTAATCCATAACTTAAATATTCTAGATGGAACAGTTGTTGAGAAGAAAAGACAGGAGAGAATAAAGATGGAAGTGACTAAACATGAAATTTGTTACAGAATGGTGTGTACCTTAACAGAGCTACAGATAATTCTTGGATTGCCTATTTTGAATGGTTTTTGCACATAGTTAATTATTAAGATTTTAGCACTTAGTAAAAAATACATTTAAAAAATCTTTAGTAATTCTTGCCCTCAAGGTGGAGTATTTTAGTCTCATGTTTTCATACTCTTTCTAAATATTGAAAATATTTACTATTCATCAACTATATAGTATTTTCTGTGCTTTTAAGTTTGTATAAATGGTATCATACTGTACATGTATATCTTTTGGCAAATTACTTTTTCATCTCTCAGTAAATGTACTTTTGAAATTCAGCTGTGTTGATAACATGAAGATGTAAATATTGCTTTCAGCTACCATATAATAGTTATTCAGTGAATAAATCAGTTTATCCATTCCCCTACTGATGAGCAATTAGCTTATTTCTCCTTTTTTTCTATTACAACGGAGCTTCAGTGAGCTGCTTTAAAGGTAAATTTGTGCACACGGTGATAGTTTCTATAGGAGGTATATCTATAAATAGATGTAATAGGATAGGTACATCTTCAATATTACTAGACATTGCCAAGTTACTATCAGAAGTGCATATACTAAATTTGTACTCTCGCCAATAAAGTATAAAAATTGCAAATTCTCCATGTCTTATCAGACTTTTTAATTGTTGCAAATCTGACAGGTATGTGTGTAACATTTATATCTTAAAGAGAGGAGCCAAAATTTGCTTTGAAGCAAATATGGCCAGTGTCTGGATGACTGGGAGATGGTTTGTTATTTACTTCTTTTCAATATATTTCAAATATCAGTAGTTTAAGATTTTATTTATTTGAGAGAGAAAGAAAACACAAGTGGGGGGGAGGGGCAGAGATGAGAGGGAGAAGTAGACTCCCCACTGATCAGGGAGCTCCATGTCTGCTTGATCCCAGAACCCAGGATCATGACATGAGCCAAAGGCAGACATTTAACCACCTGAGCCACCCAGGTGCACCAAATATTGTAGTTTATAATTTAAAATATTTAAGATAAAAAGTAGCCATAAAAATAGCCTTTTTAGTGCTGTGGCTTCTCATTTCAAAGTATCTGATAGGGGAACAAAAGACCATATAGGTAAATGCATTGAACCAGAATTCTTTAATGGGTAAAAGAATACAAAGACAGATAGATACATGCTAAAATGTTCTGATTTTTTTATTTCTGCCTTGCTGGTTTCTTGTAATGTATTGATTATGAACTTATTATAAATCTTCTACAGATCTTTAGTGTTTAGAACTGTCCCTAGCTATGTCAAAATACCTGTCAAGTGGACTTGGTCATTGCAAGTATCCTTCTTATCCATCTCTCCATGATTTAAGGTTTATTCTGACATGTTACTTTCTGATTGTCTGCTATTTTTATAGATGAAATCAGACATCACAGAAGGAGTTGATATTCCAAAGAAACCTAGATTGGAGAAACCAGAGACGCGGTCCTCTCCCATTACTGTCCAAACCAGCAAGGATTTAGCTATGACTGACCTTTCCAGTTTTGAGGAGACTAGTGCTGATGATTTTGCCATGGAGATGGGATTGGCCTGTGTTGTTTGTAGGTAAGTTGTACCTTTCTCTGGAAAGATTCTTTTGTTTTTGTAAAGAGCAAACAAAAGGAAAAAAAAAAATCAGACCAGTTGTTTGATGTTAATATTTTGTTTTTATAATTTGGAGGTGGGTAGGAGATAAGTAGATTATTCTCTATGAGATGCCCCTATAGCAATTTACCATCTTAAAAATTATCATATATTTTGTCTTCCTCACTGTGGCATCTATAATCTGTTACGTCATAGTAACATTTTCTGCATTCCTGGGTTCTAGAGGGAAAGCTATTATTGCTTTATTCTTTAGTGAAGAAGAATTTGTTCAGCAGATTACTTCTGTTCTTTTTAAGAAGTCTGTGTTGCTTTTTTTTCTTTGAATTGTTGATAGTACTTATAAAGTAGATTGTTATACATAATTTTCTAAACACCCTTACATCTTTTCCTACAAATAATGGGAAAAAAAATGAATGGATTGTATAAGTTATTCTGAGCGTTGTTTTAAATCATGGATACATAATTATAAAAACATGGATAATTTTGCTTATTAGAAGATGCATTGTAAAAATCAGAAAAACTGAATTTTAAACTGCTTGATTCAAGGGGCTATATTTTTGTTAATGACTTGTACTGTCTAACACAACAGAAAAGATTACCATCTTTGTTGCTGTTTTCTTCATGAAAATGTTAGGTTCTGGTGCATTGAGACTGAGTAAATAACTGAAAGCTTTTGTGAACCTTACAGAGAATGAGTTAATGTACTTCTGAATAAGATCATTTGTTACAGCTTCATTGTTTTCACATATATTTATTTCAACCTTTATCTACCATGAAGTTTATAATTTTTAAATAAGAAATAAATGGTAAAGTAATAGTGGAGAGCGAGCTAGTAACTTGAACCCTCCATTTGGAGACTTATGATAGTCTAAGGCTGTGGTGATTGCTTTTTGAATTTATTTTTCTTGATACACAATTTGCTACATTCTATTCAGTTGATAATACATATATTTATTGAACACTCTTATCTGCACAGTAATATGCTAAACACTCTAGATAATTAGGTCCTGTTTCTACCTTCATGCATAAGTCAATTTAAATATATAGGCAACTTACTTTAATGAACTTATGTATTAATGAAGAAGACAGGACAATGTGTAGGTAACAAATATAAAGGAATTTAATAGAAGTATAGAGAAAATGTTATGAGATTGTTGGGGCACTAACCAAAGTCTACTCCCTTCTGGGAGAAAGAAAAAAATTATAATGAGAAATGGCTAGGAGAATATAGCCAAATTCAGTTACTAGGGCACCCTACATTCATTCATTCTTGAGCGTGGAATGCTTGTGTAGGCTACATGCTAGAGTTTGTTATTTTGCTGTTTGGTTATCTGGGGTGTTTCCCTCTTTTATATATCACACTTATCAAAACAACCCTAAAATGGCTTTAAATTGTTGCATTCAAATAAGTGCAGTTTTTAATGGTATATTTCCTTAGGCAAATGACGGTGGCATCCGGTAATCAATTAGTAGAATGTCAGGAGTGCCATAATCTCTACCACCAAGATTGCCATAAGCCCCAGGTGACAGACAAGGAAGTGAATGACCCTCGTCTTGTGTGGTATTGTGCTCGATGTACCAGACAAATGAAAAGAATGGTAGGAATCATTTTTTTCTCTATTTTAAACAGTCTCTGTCATTTTTTTGTTGATAGGTACTTTTCAAAATAAAATTTGAATATTTAAGTTATTGAAAAAATAAATTACGTGTACTGATTATTTAAATGTTTGTATGTATAGTGTACATGTATGATTTATGTATCTATGCCTAAAGACTAGACCATATTATATTCATTTTTCTCTGTTGAGCTTTTAGCTTATTCTACTATAGATAAACAGGATTAGAGACCCACAAAATATGAATAGTTCTTACTAGTATGTCACTGTATTTATAAACATTTAGAAATACCGTAAAACACTGTGGGAAATGGTGAGATACAAAGCCCTAGTCTTTGGTGAGTCTGGTAAGGACATATTGAAAATGTTTATTCCTGAGTGGGCTTAAACCATCAAATTCACAAACTATGTACAGAAGCATTATTTGCATATGCATGTCTGTCTTTCCATCTGTGTTTCTCATTTTTTTTTATTATGTTCAGTTAGCCACTGTATAGTACATAGTTTTTGATGTAGTATTCAATGATTCATTAGTTAAGTATAACACCCAGTACTCATCACAGCATGTGCCCTCCTCAATACCCATGACCGTGTTACCCCCTCCCCCCCCAAAAAAAACCCAGATTGTTTCTCAGGGTCCATAGTCTCTCATGGTTCATCTCCCTCTCTGATTTCTCCCCTTTTGGATTTCCCTCCATTCCCCTATGGTCTTCCGTGCTATTGCTTATGTTCCACATTTGAGTGAAACCATATAATTGTCTTTGTCTGCTTGACTTACTTCACTTAACATAATCCCCTCCAGTTCCATCCATGTCGATGCAAATGGGTGGATATTCATCGTTTCTGATAGCTGGATAATATTCCATTGTGTATATTTACCACATCTTCTTTATCCATTCATCTGTTGAAGGGCATCTTGGCTCCTTCCACAGTTTGGCTATTGTGGACATTGTTGCTATGAACATTAGGGTGCACATGCCTCTTCTTTTCACTATGTCTGTATCTTTGGGGTAAATACCTAGTGCAATTGCTGAGTCGTAGGATAGCTCTATTCTTAACATCTTGAGGAACCTCCATACCGTTTTCCAGAGTGGCTGTACCAGCCTGCATTCCCACCAACAGTGTAAGAGGGTTCCCCTTTCTCCACATCCTCGCCAACATTTGTTGTTTCCTGTTTTGTTAATTTTTGCCATTCTAACTGGTGTAAGGTGGTATCTCATGGTGGTTTTGATTTGTATTTCCCTGATGGCTAGTGATGTTGATCATTTTTTTCATCCATCTGTGTTTCTCAATTCCTCAGTCTGTCCTTCTCATTGTCTTCGAGTGAACATTTATCTCATTTTCCCAATGTACTTTCTCTTTTTACAGCTTGCTAATATAACTGCCTTTAAAACATCATACTGAAATGTGTTTTCACTTGTTATATTGGATAGTTTTGTAACTTTTATTCATTTAAAAAGCAGATAAATAAACTTCACCATTTTCCTTTAATCAAGAAATTGTTACTTACTTTAGTGACTTATTCGCTTCTCCTCTCCTTCCTCCCCTGCCTTAGATTAGGGTCTCTTGATAGAAGAGTTTTCACATCTGTTAACCAAATACATTTCTACATAGACTTTTCTGGCCAAATATATTTTTTTAAAGGCAGAAGTATGTAGTTAAAAGTAAAAATTCAAGGTACCTATTTTACTTTTCAATCAGATAAATTAGAAATAGGAAATGTTTTTACTACTATGAAAATTAGTAAAATTTCAATAGTGTGTATATTTTCAGTTTGTAACAGGGAATTTCTGTGACAAGGTATAATTTTTTCTGCTCAGTTTGATTTTTATTTAGTTTATCGTTTAAACCAGTCTCCCAGGACCTCAACTAAATGATTATGGGTGAGCAATATAGTACATTCCAGGGCATTGACAGAAGTAGTCACTAAGAATTGATAATAATAAAAATAAATAATTTGTGACTGTAATCTGTCTTTCTTTAGTTTATCTTCAAAGATTTTTTTAATTGTTATTTTATTGTAAGTCTCAATAAAGTAAGCACTGTTCTCTTCAAAATATTTTCTCCTCCATTCAAATCTATGTTTATAGTTCTAGTCCTCTTTCCAGAATGAACTTTGGCAGCTGACCAAATATCTTACAGTAACTCTAAGTTCAACATCTTTAAAATTAAAATTGTTTTCTTCTCCCCTCAGTTTTTTCCCCCGGTTGCCTGAACTAGAAAACATTATCCTTGTTGCCTCTCTTAATTCCATATCCCTTTGTTTACCAAATTTGCTAGTTCTTATACATATCTCACATCTGTTCATTTTGCCTTTACTACCCTGTTCCACTACTTGTTATTGCTTTAGCCCCTCAAGAATTCTCCTTGTTACTGGGGCACGTAGGTGGTTCAGTAGGTTAAACATCCGACTCTTGACCTTAGCTCAGGTCTTGATTTCAGGGTTGTGAGTTTAAGCCCCGTGTTGGGCTCCAAAAAATGACCAAAAAAAAGAAGTCTCCTTGCTTCCTTTCAATGTGCCTTACTCACTTCAGTGAAAACAATTAGAATTATTCCTCTAAAATTTTTATCTGATTTTATCTGCTTAAATATGCCCAGTGGCTCTCCATTACTTATCTAATGAGGTTATACTCATTAGGTGAATATATGGATCTTCTCTCTTTGACCCAAGTCTATCTTTGTATTCGTCTCTCCCACCACTTCACCATATACATCCATACACTCTGGCCATGCCAGACTGAGTGTATCATTTCTTGGATATTTGGTGAACTTTCTTGTTCCCATATGTCCTGCTTTTCAGCTTTTCTTTTTTTCATCTCTAATATCTTCTATCTGCTTTACAAATTAAATGTGTAATTCATTTATCAGTAAGACCACGTCTCATCCATTGGCATAGCACCAGAGCAGAGCACAGGACTGTGTAGAACACATCCTACTTTCTGTTGTTCTCTGTTTAAGGTGTGTAAAATGGAGGAAATGTGAATTAGTACCAGAATAGTCAATAAGTTCAATCTGTATGTCCAAGAGTCAAAGTACTGAACGGAGAGCCATGGCTAATGTTAAAACATGAGTAGAATTCACCAAGAGTAGACTCAGAGGAATACCAAAAGGCAGGATCTGAAGTGAGCCTGAAGATCAGGATCCAAGAAACACAAAATTTAATGAGAGAAAGGAGTTTGGAAATAGTGCAGGTACTAAATTTAGTCATTCAAACTACAATTGTTTTCAGTACAGTTCTGATATGTGCATTGGTTATTGCTCCAAGGTATCTCAGAGATACTATTAATAGCATCTTATATCCCCATTCTCCTCACACTGATTTTTCTAACTAGGGCAGGTTCAGCAGTACACATTATTATAGGAAGACCTAGTTAAGAATGTGGTAGTGTGGCAGGCTCCAAGATCATTCTTCAGTTCTATAATGTTCTCTTTACCAGGTAATGGGTTTTGCCCCAGCACTAAGTCAGAGACTCCTATGACTTATTGCAGTGGTTTTCAATCTAAAGTAATAACATACCTACTCAGGAGCGTTTAGAAATATGTGGTATTTTTGATTGCTGTCATACTGGCAATTATTGCCTTGAGTGGGAGATTTCATACATTCTGCAATGTAGTCACCCAATGAAAAATTATATACCTTTGTTGGGCAGAACCAAGTCAGTAATAATATCCAAATTCCAAAACTAGTATTACCAGCAAAGGACCAAGGGTTCTGGGTATTTCTTACTCCACTCATAAGATGGCTAGGTGATGTAGAAGAAGCAGAAGAAGATCCAAAGGCCCTTTCTTGGCTTTGTTGTAAGGAATCTTCATCTGCTGATGCCGTGTAAGTTAAGCCAGTCTTCAGAGTCTAACCTCTGAAATAGTAGATGTGGGTTGAAGGAAGTGTGTGATTGAAAGCCGTGGTTATGGAACCATGTATTTCTGATTTACTCTGAGGGCTGCATTCTCATAACATGGTTTTGCAGTAGAGGATAAGATGGTCCTCCTTTCCTGCTGGTAAGAGATATTTTACCACAGGTAAGTGTTCTAGCATCCTTAATAATATTCTTGGTCTGAATGTTTCTTTGTAAGTGATGTTTGAAAGTAGGTATACTTTCATATGGAAAAAATGTAATACAAAAAATGGGTTGAATTGAAACTTAAGGACCAAAATTATATAGTACAGCAAACCGTAGCACAAGAGGATTGCACAAGAAAGTCCAGACAAAAAGACTGCATTGAAATTTCCAGAAATGGGAACAGATTATTAATAAATTTCCTGATAAAGTCCTGCATGGTCTTATTAGGATTGTCAAAGACAATGGACTGGCTGGGAGCATCTTTCCCCATCCAATATGTATGGGTTCTTCCAGATTCAGTTTTCTTATCCTATATAAATGATGGTGTTGAATAAATAAAAACTTACTGTCTGCACTCAACATGTACCAGACACTATACTAGACATTTGTGTAATCATAATTCATCCTCATAACCCACCTTAGAAACAGGTGGTCTTATCCCCATATTGTAGATGAAGAGAATGATGATTTTAGAGATTTACATATTTTACCTGTGGTAACATAGCTAAGGAAGTAGTTGAGCTGGGTTTTAATCCTATATCTGTTTGACTCTAAAAACTGTGCTTTCAGACACTGCACTATACTGTTTATGTAGTTATGCTTATTTACCTGGAAAACACTAATAATCTGAAAAATGATTAGAGTTCAGAAGAGAATACAAAGTTACAAAATAAAGGAAAAAACTCAATTATTGGTCAAAATAAAACTGAAAAATGCTTATAAAGGAACAGTGGATACAGATTCCTCTTTAATAACATAGAAAATTGTATTTGTGGACTTTCTCGAAGAGTTTAGCATGCCTACTTCTGCAGTGTGGAAAACCTCAAAAGGATACACCATTTGTCACCAATAGTTTTTATCCATGTTTGGTATTTGAAATCATATAATTGATCTGAACTACCTTTTAACTCACCCTCAGTTACTTAGGGATTTGTACCTGAACATCAAGAAGAAAACTCCTAAGTCTTTGACCAACCATAATAAATAAATGCACTCAGTACAAGTAAAGCTAACTGGTTGCAAATAATTTGTGATTTTCCTTTTTTAAAAGAAACAGTTTGGTTTGTCTTGTTAAAATGTATTTAATCAACCTAATCTGCATGATTTCTAAAGCTTAATATTATCTTTACTGTTTAGAAATGAATAAAATCTGTAAAACCATTCATAGGATGATGATAAAAATAATTTGGTCAAGAATCTATATTTTCAGTGTCACCACAATATTTTTTAAATGTTCAACTGTATTTCAGTTCGACGAGTAGTCCGTGACAGATTTTTATTGTCTTTTGTTGTGCATTCATTTAAGATTTTGTATCTAATTTAATTCACTGATTTTTACAGGCTCAAAAAACTCAGAAACCACCTCAGAAACCAGCCCCCACAGTTGTGTCTGTAGCTCCAGCTGTCAAAGATCCATTGGTTAAGAAACCAGAAACTAAACTCAAACAAGAGACAGCTTTTCAAGCATTTAAGAGAACAGAGGTCAAGGTACAGTACATTCCATTTTTATCTAAGATTGGATTTTAATTTAGTTGACTCAAAAATACTTACTTGAAAAAAATATTGATGAGGAACTTTATATGCTAAATGTCCATATGTTGGAAAAAGACTGCATTACTATTCCATTAGATAGAAAGGGAACATTTATATAATTATTTAATATCTAACTCTGTTATTTCTCTTTTTGTCACAGTTAGAAAAGATTCTCTGTAAGCATTCCAGGGTGGTATTCTTTACCATTTCTATGTAGTCAGACACTTGCCTCCAATCGGGAATTTTGTTTAAATTCTAAGTAACTCTGCCCTCAGTAGCAGCAATTTTGCTTCTCACATAACTTGTGCTGATTGACCTTGTAGCATTTTTTTCTCTCTGCTTATTGGCTATTGAAGAAGTTTTCTTCTTTTGTCTTTTTTCCTTCATTATCATGAACTTTCATGGTACCTACTTCTTATACAAAAGGACCAGATTATCTAGTGAAAGTGTCACCTTTCTCATTCTTAGTTTTGCATCCTTGAAATCACACTACATTATTATTAATATCTGGCATTTTGATATCATGGAATAAAATATTTTTCTAACCTAATTTTATAACAAAAACAATATTTTTACTGAGTTACACATTCCAGTTTTAAACAGAGTACTAAAGATGGTAGAAAAAATATTAGCCCCAAATTCTCAAAGGTTGATCCTAGAAAATTCTAGATATTACCCTGTCCTAGTGACTATAAGTAGCAAAGTTCAAGAACCTTGCTGTGATGATAAAGAATATGAATGTAAAGGAGTGCTTGGGTGGCCCAGTTGGTTAAGCATCCAACTCTTGATTTCGGTTCAGGTCCTGATCTCAGGGTTGTGGGAATGAGTCCTGCACCGGACTCTGTGTTCAACAAGGAGTCTGATCTAGATTTTCGCTCTCCCCCTCCCTCCACCTCCCCTGCTCTCTCTGTCTCACTCTCTCTCAAGTAAATAAATCTAAAAAAAAAAAAAAAAAAAAGATTGTGAATGTAAAGTACTCTGAGAAAGATACTGATAATTTTATTCGCAGATCATTTTTAAACTTAATTTGCCAGGGAAGAGTTAATATCCAAAGGATATCCATATTTGCCATATAAAAACTTAGCAATTTGGAATAGAGGGAGAATAATTTATTTAAAGTAATTAGAGTTGCTGTATTTTATACTTAAATCTCTTTTAAGTAGATTATTATACCAACTTGTTACTACTAAAGTTTAATTTTAAGAAATCCAACATGAAATCATTTTATGGAAACTAAGTTAAGGCCTTGGCTGTCATGTTTATTCTGATTTAGAAATTTTGATGTTTTTATGATGAAAGTGAACACATTTTTACTATGGAAAAAATTTGTTTCCTTTCACATATTAAAAAGCAAATGGCTTTCTAACTAGGATAATGGGCAAGAAAATATTAATAGTTAAAAATTGAGAAATAGCTGAGAAATTTATTATCTATACTGAAATACTAAGAAATCACTTGGTCTCCATTGTTTGTGTTATTTTACTTTTTCGTGTCCTAATAGCATTATAAACCATCTGTCATTCTGTTGAAAAGCAATACCAGTAATAGCAAGCCATTAAACTAAAATGCTATACACAGAGAACTTGCTTTCTGTTTGTACTTCTTAAGTGTTGGTCTTTTTACTTCCTTCAGATGGGTTTTCTTTTGTAAAGTTTGTTGAAAGATCATTTAGCCATATGGCAGACAGTTTTATGTTTAATAGAAAAGGAAAAAAATTAGATCTTTCATAACTGAAAATTAAAAGTTTTACTACACTTCTGTCCTTTTTGCTTCATTTAACTTTTTCTCATTACCTGTGTGCATTCCTCTAGGAATTTATAACTTATGTGTGGTTTATCTTCTCTGAATAACCTTATGAGAGAGTTACTGGATGATGTTACTGTAAAAAAAAAAAAAAAAAAAAAAATTCTAATTTTCAGAGTATGTGAGCAAAAATCTGGACTTTTCCTTTTATGAAATAAATATCTCAGCACTCTATTCTGATTAATTTTCACATTGGTTAAAAATGTTTATATGCAGGGGCACCTGAGTGGCTCAGTTGGTTAAGTGGCAGACTCTTGATTTCAGCTCAGGTCATGATCTCAGGGTCCTGAGATCAAGCCTTCATTGGGCTCTGCACTCATCAGGGAGTCTGCTTGAGGTTTCTCCCTATCTCTCTGCCCCTCTCCCTTTTTCTCTCTCTCTCCTCTCTCTCTCTCTAAAATAAATAAATAGGGGCGCCTGAGTGGCTCAGTTGGTTAAGTGTCTGCCTTCGGCTCAGGTCATGATCTCAGGGTTCTGGGATCGAGCCCCACATCAGGCTCTCTGCTCAGCGGCAAGTCTGCTTCTCCCTCTTCCTTTCCCTCTGTGATCTCTCTCACTCTTGCTCTCTCAAATAAATAAATAAAATATTTTAAAAATAAATTTTAAAAATTTTTACATGCCAACAGTATTGAAGGCTACTTTGTGTTTTTACCAACTCTCCCAGAGTTCAGGTCTGAAGTACAACTGCATGTATTTTAGACATGGTAATTACTGTATTTTTAAGTAAAATACTATTTGTAAGATTTAATCTTTTACCTCTATGTAAATTTAACACTTTTGTGAATCTTAAGAATATAAAGGTAGAAAGAGTGCTGGTGAGAAGTTAAATTTATAATTAATTTGAACAAAACATAATTTTGCCTAATGTGAAGGTGAAAAAAATTTGTTCTCATGTGAATAAAAGCAATATTTATTTGTATAATGACATTGATATCACTATTGCTTTTGACTGGCCAAGGAAGTTAATTAGAAAAACTAAGGTGTTATATCTTTAAGAAATTCCTCTGGGAGTGAGTTAGGCCTACTTAAAATGTCACTGTGCAGCTTATGAGGCAATTGATAAAATACTTTATACAGAAGCAGGGATCTCTTGTATGATAGTTTAATAGAAACCTTAAACAAATTGTGAAAATAAAGTTACAAAACCTTTTTAATATATCACCAGAGCTGTACAATTCCAAATAGTTAACATTGCACATCTGTATATATTTTGCACTGCAGGAGCTATTTGCTCAAAATTTTTTTAAAAAATGGATTGAGAATCTGACACATTCATTCACTCAATAAATAATTATCACATGAATCTGTTTATCTCAGACATCTTCTAAATGTCCTGGGTACAAGCATTTTTGTCCATTAAGAGCGGATTCTATTTTTGAAATGATCGACAAGCCATTTGGAGCAAGGTGTAAAGAATTAGGTGCTTTATTGAACTAGATAATACCTTTTTTGGTTGAATAACAAGTTAAAGCATTAAATCTGATTTTCTGAGAGAGCTTGTAACTGAATCTAAAAGCAATTCCCAAAAAGGAATTTCATACATTTCTTTTTTGGAATCATTAGAACAAGAATATGACATTCCAGAATTTCTGCTTTGGAAGTGATAGCATCCATTAGCTATGGATAAGTGTTATTATTTGTGTTTTTTCAGATCAGTTTCATAAGAACTTAATTTTAGTGGTATGATTTAAATTTCCCAAGTCATTACTTTTGTATAAAAAGTCCAATTCAACTTGTTATATATTTAAGATATTATATTGTTAATTACATTTGGCTCTGAAGCAATATTTATCCTATTTTTTTTTTTAGACCTCCACAGCTATTTCAGGAAATTCTTCTAGTACCAGTGTTTCCTCTTCAGTAACTAGTGGCCTAACTGGATGGGCAGCTTTTGCAGCTAAAACTTCCTCTGCTGGTCCATCAACAGCAAAATTGAGTTCAACAACCCAAAACAACAGTGGGAAACCTGCTACCTCATCAACTAACCAGAAGCCTGTGGGCTTAACCGGTCTGGCAACATCATCTAAAGGTGGAATAGGTTCCAAAATAGGTTCCAGTAACAGCACTGCACCCGCTGTACCATTGAAACCACCTCCACCTCTAACTTTGGGCAAAACTGGCCTTAGTCGCTCTGTTAGTTGTGACAATGTTAGCAAAGTGGGTCTTCCTAGTCCAAGTAGTTTAGTTCCAGGAAACACCAGCCAGCTCAGTGGGAATGGAAATAGTGGGACATCAGGGCCTAGTGGAAGTACCACTAGCAAAACCACTTCAGAATCAAGCAGCTCTCCGTCAGCATCCCTTAAAGGTCCAACTTCACAAGAATCACAGCTCAATGCCATGAAGCGATTACAGATGGTCAAGAAGAAAGCTGCCCAGAAGAAACTCAAGAAGTAATGTGGCCAAGTAGGTTTTTATATCACATTACCCTAAAATTTTATTATTAGGACATAAACTGTCATATACTATAATTTAATAAAAATCTTCACAATGGAATTTCTATTTTTCTTACCTTAAAATGCTAAATGTTTTTAAGCAAAATTTGGAGATTTTTTTTTTTTTTTTAAGATTTTATTTATTTATTTGACAGAGAGAGACACAGTAAGAGAGGGAACACAAGCAGGGGGAGTGGGAGAGGGAGAACAGGCTTCCCGCGGAGCAGGGAGCCCAATGCGGGGCTTGATCCCAGGACCCTGGGATCATGACCTGAGCCGAAGGCAGACGCTTAACAACTGAGCCACCCAGGTGCCCCAAAATTTGGAAATCTTTTAAGATTGGAATCTTGTAAGTCTGTTTAACATTTTTATTTTAACAGTCTCCATAGTATGTGAAAACAATGATTAAAATGATTAATTCTTGATGAGAACTTCTGGAATCCCAAGAGACTGGTAGCATACATGAATTTTTAAAAAAAGAAATAGTTTATCTTCTAGTAAAGCCCCAAGAATTAATCCTACTGAATAAGGTGCCTTACAAGGTGGCAGGAATGACCCAATATAAAGTTTTCTACATTCTCCCCACCACTATTCCTCATATTCCGTGTTAGTCCTTGGCCTCATTTCAATTGATTCTCCCTCTCCCCCCAAATATTTCATCTCCCCATTTTCAAAATGAATTTTATATAATTGATTTCTCATATTTCTGTATTATATCTTTACCTTTTTTTTAATCACTTCATGTCAGTTATTTAGGGATCTATGTCTTCCAATAGATTATGAACTCCCATGATACAGTACTTTTCTCCCATTGCCTACTTTTCCTCACATTGCTAGTCTAACAATGCACATAGAATATACCTAATAAATGTTGAATTTTGATTTATCCTGGTTTTCCACATTCCTAAGAATTCATGAGCAAAATACCCATTCTAAGAGTTTTTGTGGATGGATTAATTTCTGAGTTGTTTACATACTGATAGCTTCTTCCTATACCATGGGAAAAAAAGGGGACGGGGGCTGCTTTATTTTTACTGCCCAAAAGTGTTACAGTTTTAATTTTAGTTAACTTTGTATAAAAGAAGCTCCTAGGGCACCTGGGTGGCTCAGTTGGTTAAGCGGCTGCCTTTGGCTCAGGTCATGATCCTGGAGTCCCTGGATCGAGTCCCGCATCGGGCTCCCCGCTCGGCAGGGAGTCTGCTTCTCCCTCTGACCCTCCTCCCTCTCATGCTCTCTGTCTCTCATTCTCTCTCTCTCAAATAAATAAATAAAATCTTTAAAAAAAAAAAAAAAAAAGAAGCTCCTATATCATGATTAAATCTTGAAATTGTTTCCAAGTATGTGTGTGTACATTGTTAAAACAAAATGTGACGGGTCTGAGTCGTAGCCTCATTTGTAAATTAACAAATTAGCCTATCATTGTTTTACATATAGTTTCTGACAGAAGATATGAGGCTTTCTGGACCAGATAAACAATTTAGTACTCACAAGCAAAGTGCAACAGCCATTTTGTACTTCACAGATACCTCATTTCATCCAGAAACTAGAAGTCCAAAAAATTCCTACATTCATTAGACTATGAGCAGCAAACTTATTCCTTCAACTTTGATGTGTGCTACTGAATCTTTATAAACCTCTAATCTCAAACCCTTTCCTTTAATCCCTAAATTTTTCTAACATCTTCTAAAATATATTGGTAAAAGATTTCTGTGAAGATAAAGCTTTTTAAACAAACTTGCTCTTTTTCTAAGGAAAGATATTATTTTAAACTACTCTTAAACAATGACACTAAATTATTCATAGTAAAATAGAATTCAGGATTGAGATAATCCCATTACTTGCATGTGGGGTAAACATCTATTTACATGATTAAAATCTGCCTACAGATGTTTCTGTTTTGAGAAACAAAGATTTCTGTTGATTAAACATCATTTGGCATGAACCTCAAATCCCCTTTAGGGTCAAAAAGACCAAAAACAACCCATAAAATCATCATTATTTGTTTATAGTTCAGGGCCAGTTTGGACTAAACTGGACAAAATGATCTGATACAAACTCAGCTCAAGAACTAACAGTTCATGTGACCTCAGTACCTACAAGAAATTAAAGCAGTAACGCACAATTTGCACATTGCCACTTGAAGTGGAAAATTTTATCCCATCCTAGAACATATGTCCTGGACAGAGTTGAGAAGAGAAGCAACTTTTAATTTCTATGGTACTTCAGAGAAGTTAGAAGACTTTTTAGGAATCTGTACATATGAAAGTATGCATCCATCTAGTAATGTATATAATTCAGTTTGGTATTTTATACAGGTACTTTTGTATTAGAGTTTATCTTCAGGTAGATCTTAGACCTTGATTTTTCCATACTTACATGAACTACAAAGCTTTTTAACTGAACATGTGATGAAAGTATTAATAGTATTTATCATTTATTTTGTTATGCATAGGTTTTTTTTCCCCCAATAGAATGTAAGTTGTATGAGGGCAGGGAATTGTTTGATTTGCACACCATTGTATTCCCACTGCAGCTCTCAATAAACATGATGCCAATGAATGAATAGACAGATAAGTAGGTGAGCCAAGGTAGGCTTTTAGGACTGTAAGCTCAAATCCTACTTTAGTAGAAATTTGGCCAGTATCACCTTTTGCATATTGTGCTTTCTGTTGGATTTTAGTGATTAAAAAACAAAACAAAACAAAAAACCCAACACTAAAAGAACACTGACTTAAAGTCAGAAGACCCGCTTTTGAATCCCAGTCTCTCCATGTATGAGCTGTGTGATCTTTGGTTTCCTCCTCTATAAAACATAGATGATAATTAATGAGATAAAAATGGAAGGCATCTGATATTCTAAGGTTAGATTTCCAATTCTGATGCTTAACAAGGATGTGGTAGTACTGTTTATTAGTAACTGAGATTATAAATTATATTGTGATGATCATAGGTTATATAGAAAATGTATCCTTTTATAAAAACTATATTGCAGTAATTATAAAAATTATATAAGCAATTAGAAAAAGCCATAAATACATTTACATACCATAGTATTGTTTTCTTTTAAAGTAAGATAAACTTTACTAAGAATACACCCCCTAGATTTTTGAACAAGAACATCTCATTCCAGTATATGCTGAAGTGTGACTTGTTTTCCTAAAAAACTGAAGCAAATCTTGCCTGTATTGAGAGCATAATATGGGGAAAACAGTAGCTGCCCTACAGAGGCTCAACTGGAATTCTAGTAGTCCTGGAGTGAAGATGCATTATATTGGATGATTTTGTAGATCACAGATAATTTAATGACTGAGTTTTTACATATATTATTTAGTGTGTATAGGAAGAGGGTGGTAACAGAAAAAGTTAGACTTTAAAAATAGTAACATTCTATAAATTGAAGCATTTCCCCAGAGAATGTAAAGTCTAGTGTCCTTCCAGTCAATGAAATTTAATTATTTCATCAACTGTAATGTAAATTTATATGTCTAATTAGGCTTGAATGTTGTGAGGGCTAGACGTATTAAGTATTGGAATACGTTGAGTACCTTAAGAAGCCAGTTATGACAAATAGGATTTCAATAAAGTAGTTTTCTTGCCATCTTAGAATATAAATATTTCATCTCTATTCACATGGCTCTGAGAGGGTTTTGCAATAGACAAAAATCTAAGAAGCTTATGGGAAAAGTGAAGAGTTTTCAATTTCATGTTTCAGTAATAAAAACACTAATATTTGTAAATCATCTGAACTATTCATCACAAATAGTGACAGGCACTTATGAGCCATCTCTAAAAGTCCAAATTTTATTTTAGGCAAAATATGGACTATATCAGCACTTAGAGTATTTCATGCAATGCTGCATTTGTATGATTAACAATGTATATTATATCTCTTCTGAACAGCTCAATCTTCATAGAATTATTTTATACTAATGAATACTAAAAGAATATTTTTCTAAAATACAAAGAATGTTCAGATAGTAGCTTTGTGACTTTTTCACATGATTTAAGTACCCATGGTAATTTTATATTACTGAATTTTTTATAATTTTCAAACAGTATTATATATAATATTAGGTTAGAGCATCTGTGTTTAAAAATAAATACTAAATAAAATGTGTACATATACTTGTTTATTTGTTTTACAAAGAAAAACAGCCACAAAAATTTCTCCTTCATTTTTGGCAAAAATACTCATTTCAGAGAATTCTATACTGTACAATAACATTTAAATTTTAAAATATAAAGAAATAATTTTTTCTTAATGTCTTAATTATAATGATGTCACCAATAATTTTATCTTTTTAAACTTCTTAAAGACTTACAAACATCCTAATTATCTTTGAATTTTATTTCCCCTGGGCCCAACAAAATAACGTCTGACCTCCAAATTATAATTACTTGATTTTAAACAACATACTAAGAAAATGAAGGTATTGCATAATGTTTAAAAAAAAAATAAAGCCTAAGTGGCATATGAAATGTAGGTGTATTTTTAAAATGGCAACAACATAGTTTTATAGTAATGTATGTTCATCACAATAGTGAGGGGCTGCAGTAGGTGGCTTCATTACAATACTTGCTCAGCTGCCAACTGCAGCTATGACTTTACTGGTGTGGTTTCTAAAAAGGTCAGACAGGAAGCATCAATCCTAGGACCACACAAGTAGACGAAGCTTCTCATATACATCTGGTCACTTATTTCAGCCAGAAAAGTAGGTATGTACTACTTATACAATTTTTCATTTTGCGGGGAGCATTAGGTCATGGTTAATTTAAATTTACAAAATATATACTGTTATATATGTAACAGTATTATATACATGTATACAGTAATATATAGTATATAATATATAGTATATTACAGTAATATATAATTATAGTAATATATACTAAATATAAAATAAATTATATTTAATATATATATAATTTCCCCACTAGTTTGTTGGGCATATTCATAATTACCACAAGTTGCAAGTTTAGATTTCCTTTTGCTTTACCCTAAGCAAACTGGAATTTCATCATTGGGTACAAGGCACTCTTTAAAAGACATAAAAAATCCCTGTATATCCAAAAAAGAGAATCCTCTTTTGGTATCCAAACTCAAAACGAGAAAATGTTATGCAAAAACAACTTCCCATTAGAACCTTATAAAATCATCTTTAGTTTAAATATTTCAGGAACAACATTATAAAATGCAAATTTTTTGTCATGTAGATGTCTTATGAATTTCTAGGGTTGTACATGTCATATACATACATTAAACAGCCATCTGAAAAGCACTCTTCATTTTGTTATTTGTATTCCTCAGTAATATATGTAACAATATACATTATAGAGATGAAATCTCTCAAAGTAACAATCAAATCTTACAATCTCATGTCATATTAGCAGGTTCTATGTGAGCAATGTAAGTCCACATTATTTTGGTTTTTAAAGGAAACCACTAAGTCAAATTTAATCTTTTTACTGTTCTAAAGAAGCATCTACAGGTCAATAAAATGTCTTGGCAAAATATGCCTGACATCTTAGGGGACGGTTTTGAGCTATTCCCAAATTAAAGCTCAGTATCCCAGGACATTGTGTTTCAGCAAATGTTATCCTTAATGCCTGCCTTGTCTAAGTACAAATCAGCAACTAAAAATATTTACATCTTGGCTCAGTACATGGAACACACATTCCCCATTCATTATCCAAACGATTGAGTGATCCAAAAATATTTCCTCATTCAAGTAACATTAGCGATCCTGCAGGATCATTTTTAAGCAATTATACTTTAAAAAATGTTTAAACAAAAAAATAAAAATAATAAACCTAGATACTTCATTTTCTCTAGACTAACATCATCAAGTTCTTGTAGCCCTTGATTTTGAAAAACTTCTCAATACTTAAATACAGACCTGAGAGAAAAATGGTCATTGTTTGTATCACTAGGTGCTTTGCTGATAGCAAATGTATACTTTCCTGGAGGGTTAGTACAGCATAGTGGTTAAGAGTATGCACCCCAGAACCATACCTAGGTTTGAGTCCAGCCCAATCACTTACTGGCAGTGTGACTTCGGCTGAATTACTTCACCTCTCTGGGCCACAGTTTCATCATAATGTTGTGAGTATCAAATAAATTACCACATATAAAGCACTTAGAAGAATTTCTGGCATGTAGTATGCATTCAGTAAATGTTAGATATTATGTTATTCAGGTTTTTTTTTCATTCAAAACTTATATTAAAGAGATATTCCACATCAAAAACTTCTAGTTGGCTGTTAATTCCTATTCTTATGTGTTTTTAGTATACTCCCTGGTTTATGCATGTATATGTATATCATCTATATGATATACATATACATGTATAAACCATATAATGAATGTGATTATATGTATGTGAATATATATGTGCACACATAAGCAAAAGAGAGAATAAGAGAAACAGAAAAAAACGTATTTGAGGCAAAATATGTAATAAAGTAAATGGAAAAAATCTTATCCTTAGGTCCAACTTTTCATGTTGATAACACGTTTACCCTTTCAAAGATCTCCACTTTTAAGTAGTTGATTGTTGGAGCTTGAGCGGTCTGTTTTTTGAGCTTGAGCTATTTGTTTTGCTGTTTCTGTTTGTTCAAAGTGTTTCCCTCAACATGTATTCTTCAAAATACATTTTGAAATAATCTTGTTAGGAAGCACAGTCTTCCTTAAAACTTGATACAGAATCAGTTCCATATAGTTTGGAGGTTTCTTGACTTCTAGACCAACATTTTGTAATGTAAGTTTTATGAGGTAGTCAATAACTTGCCAGAAAACAAAAGTCAAGGGCTTCTTTTCTTAAGCATAAGTCATCTTGCCAAGGTAGTTAGCTGGCACATATCCTTTCTGCCCCTGAGCTTCAGCTAACCACCACTCTTTATTGCCACTTAGGTCACAAAATCGGAGTATGTGGACTCTTTGATATTCCTGAAGGCTGAGTTCATGGTCACTTCGTGCTTGAAAGGCATGAACTGCATAGAAAATCTAGACAAAGAAGCAAATGACATTATTGGAAGCAGAACTTAAATATTTAGACAAACATAATAAAGATATCCAAGCTTTTAGAAAGAATGCTAGTTTTCATTTTTTTCAAAGTCACATTCCCCAGTTCTTTCTGTTGGATTTATTTTGCTAAAACATGACCCAGATGAGAATACAGTTCAATAGGCATTCTTATTGTTCTGGGGGGAGGAGTCTAAACTGCCCATGCTTGAAGGCAATCTGGCAGTTTCTATTAAAAGATTATTTTTTTTTTATTTTTTTTGTCCATAAGCTCCACACACAATGTGGTGCTTGAACTCAAGACCCTGAGATCAAGAGTTGCATGCTCTACTGACTGAGCCAGCCAGGCGCCCCTAAAAGACTTTAAAATGTTAATTTTTTATTTGTTTGTTTTTATTCAGTAATAGCTCTTTAAGAATCTCTCCTTCAGGGGCTCCTGTGTGGCTCAGTTGGTTAGGTGTCTGCCTTCGGCGCAGGTCATGATCCCAGGACCCTGGGATGGAGCCCCACGTCAGGTTCTCTGCTCAGCGGGGAGCCTGCTTCTCCCTCTTCCCCCTGTTCGTGCTCTCTCTCACTATCTCTCTCTCTATCAAATAAATAAAATCTTTTAAAAAATGTAAAAATCTCTCCTACAGAAATAGAAACATTCGCAGATTTTTACTTATTAATATTACCACACTATCCATTCACAAGGTGAAAAGTGAGAGGGAAATGGGAATAACCCTAAGTGTTCAGTAAGAGAAGAATAATTAAATCTATTCTAGACCTTTACAGTAAGGAAATTTGTAGCCATTAAAAATGCTGTTTTTTGAGACTAATAGCATGGGCAAATGCTTATGATGAAATAGTAAGCCCCCCCCAAAAAAGATATCAAATCAGATGTACAATATAAGTCTAATAGTGTTAGTTTCTTTGAATGGTAGAATTAGAGATGATTTTCATTTTCTTTCATTTTTTTTTAAGATTTTTTTTTTTTTTTTATTCATGAGAGACAGAGTGAGAGAGAAAGGCAGAGGGAGAAGCAGGCTCCCAAGGAGCAGGGAGCCCGATGCGGGACTCGATCCCCGGACCCTGAGATCATGACCTGAGTCGAAGGCAGACGCTTAACCATCTGAGCCACCCAGGCGCCCAGATTTTCCTTTTTACTTCTTATTTTTTAAACCTTTATAATGACAATACATTAAATTTATAATTTTTAAATTATTTTAAGTGGCCTAGAAGAAATTAATAAAACATGCTTCAGTCAGAAGATTTTTTCTCTAACCTCAAAAGAATACTTCAGAATATTAGGTGCGTAAGAAGCCCCTAAGTGTTTAGTCCCTCTTCCACTAAAATCGTTAAGACTGATAACAGAAATGTTTAGTTATATCATAAAATTAAGCAATTGACTAACATTTTATTCATTTATTCATTTAATCAAAATTTATTAAGTACCTGTCAAGTGCCAGATATTATATTATCAAAGAACTTACAACCCAACTAGGGAGAAAATGTGTCCCCAAAAGGTGTATACACACACACACACACACACACACACACACACCAAAAAACACCCTACACACATAAGTGATACATGTGAGCTGGTTTTTGAAAGAGGTAACCCTGTATGGGTCACAAAGTTGATAAAGGGGGTGGATATGTCATATTCCAGGGTATATAGAATGCAAATAGTATATGGGAAAGGCAAGCAGATTAACTTTCTCAAAATTGAGGGTCAATGTTAAAAGGAAATGATAAGAAATAAGATGACTTCACTGAGCAAGAAAAGAGACTGGGGAATGTGGGGAGGGCACTATATAGTTAAAGTTGTTCTGTAGATGTTGAACTGTTATTTAACTTTAGATGAAATTTTGATATCACTGATTTTATATCATCTCAACAACTCTGGCATGAGCTCCACCTCAGAGGAGCATTTATGAGGTGCCTGGTTGACTTAGTCAATAGAGCATGGGACTCTTGATCTCAGGGTTATGAGTTCAAGCCCCAGGTTAGGTGTAAAGCTTACCTGAAAAAAAAAAAAGAGGAACATTTAAACTTTTCTCCACTGACCACATGGTGGTACACAGTAGAAATTCAGATATATGTTAATTTGACTTAAAAGTATGGCTGAAAGTCTTGGATATCACAGAAGAACATACAAGAGATAACCTTGCATCATACAAGATACACACAAGACATATTGTTGGGCATGGATTATTTTGTAATTTAAAAATTTAAGAAGAGGGGTGCCTGAGTGGCTCAGTCAGTTAAGCATCTGCCTTTGGCTCAGGTCATTTTCTCAAGGTCCTGGGATCGAGCCCCGCATCAGGCTCTCTGCTTGACAGGAGTCTGCTTGAGGATTCTCTCTCTCCCTCTGCCCCTACCTCTCACTCATGCGCTCTCTCTCTCTCAAATAAATAAATAAAATCTTCAAAATTTTAAAAAAATAAGAAGGAAGAAAACAAAAAGGAAGGTGCTATAAATTCTTGAGCAATGGGGTGGCAGCATCTTTTCTATGCTCGTGACAGTTTACATGTCCAATGTGCTTTATCCTCAACAACTCTGTGAGTTGTGACTTGGAAAAGTAACATGCTTTAGTCATATAGTTCATGCTGCTAGGACTATATCTTCTAACTCCAAATCCTGTGCTTGGTCCATTTCTCATACTACTTTAGGAAGCAAACTCTTGTTCTAGAAAGGTTGTGCAGAGTATATTCTTGTGGAAAGGGACTGAGGTCTCTAATATGTTGCTGCTGATCTTTCTGCTGTTGATTAGAAAATGAAGACATTGATTAGATTGACAAGAGCAGAATGGAGGATTTGGTGGCAAAAGCTTTCAGGAATAAAATGCGCCATAATACAGTTTCTGATTATCTGTAAGAGCCCATGTTAGGAGTTACTAGCCAACTTTTATAATTTTAATACACAACATATATGCATTGCCAACACAGCTATAGATTGTTTAGTAGGTTGAGTTATATATGATTCCTAAATATTTGTGGTGCTTTTTCACTTCAGCACATATTCTCTCAAAGGGAAATAAAATCTTCACTTAAATCTATTTGGTATGAGGAGTGCTGGGTGGCTCAGTTGGTTAAGCGAAATCCGACTCTTGATTTCGGCTCAGGTCATGACCTCAGTGTCATGGGATTGAGCTCCGTAGCTGGTTCCATGCTAAGCAGGGAATCTGCTGGAGGTTCTCTCTCTCCCTCTCCCTGCCCCTCCTCCAACTCATGCTCACTCTCCCCCACCTCCCTGCCCCGGGCAAATAAATAAGTCTTTTAAAAAATCTATTTGGTATGAAATTCCAGCAGAGCGTATATTTTAAACACTAAATATAAATTCTCATGAAATTGTAAATTTAAAGGAGAAAATTATATACTTTAAATACTTTAAGTGATCATGGCCCAAAATTAATGTAGGATGAGCATATTTCAGTTTTATATGTTTATGCCTCCCATTTAACATAAGATAGATACTCAAAATGGAACTAAGTCCACTTTTAAAGAGACAGCAGTTGATAACATTAGACCACAAGTTGGAAGTTTTCAGGCTGTTATACATAAAAGCTGAAGAATTTCTCATTTTTTGGAATACTTTAATTGTTCTAGGCTGTATCTTTCTGACCTTCAATGTTAATGTTTTGGTCCAGATACATTAATTAAATGTTATTAATTTAAGCCATAAACATCTGATCCTTCTCCCTTTTTCCTCAGCATTTATTAAAATATATTTTATTCATTGCTTCTTTGCACTCTGTAAAGCTCTGGCTCGTTTTATGTACAACAGTCCGTGAATACAACCCAGTTCTCTATGGCATTAACTTTTTTTAAATAACACTCTGTATTGTATTATTG